AGTGTTCTCTCCTCCAGATTGAGGACGACTGGCATCTTCGTGTGTTCCTAAAGACTCGCAACAGTATTCTTTGAGGTTCACATACATGCCACTCAGGTCACTCCCTCTGCATCAGCATCAGAACCATCGGAACGCCGGAATAGCACTTACCCGGCTTCGGGCGCCGATTCTCGGGAAGTGGACCGGTCGGACTGCCGTGGGTATTTCCCGAGGCATCGGCTTTCACTCCATATGTACCAGCTCTAGATGTCTCTTCATGCACAGCTCCTACTCCTCCTAATCAATACAATTCTCCCTCTCTCACCTGCGCAACGCCTTGCGAAACGCTTTCAGCGAACCCCTCACAAGCAAGCCCCGCAGTCCGCCATCATCACCATCGCCTGCACGACCGTGACCATGCGCCTGCCCTACACCCCCAACCCGCCCCAGCCAGCAGACCCCGCCGAGGAGGCCATCGTCTCGCGCATCACCGCGCGCCGCGCGCCGCGCCCCCTACAGCCTCTCGACCTGACCCTCCTCCACAGCCCCCCCGTCGCCGACGGCTGGAACTCCTTCCTCGGCGCTGTGCGCACGCAGACCATCGTCCCCGCCGACCTGCGCGAGCTCGCCATTTCCCGCGTCGCCGTCGTCAACCGCGCCTGGTACGAGTGGATGCACCACGCGCCCCTCGCCGTCGGCGCCGGTGTCCCGCAGGCCGCCATGGACTGGCTCAAGGGCCAGGCCGGAGATCTGGCCGAGCCGAGCGTCGCGGCTGAGGGGACGGACCTGTTTGGGGAGGGGCAGTGGGCCGCGCTGCTGCTGGCGGATGAAATGACGAGGAACGTGCAGGTCTCTGACGAGACGTTTGCCAAGGTCAAGGGATTGTTCGGTGAGAGGGAGGTTGTTGAGCTTGTGGCAACGGTAGGTCCTCTTCTGCCAGTCATGCGAGAAGGGTCTCGGGAAACGTCTGTTAACGATACTAATAGGTTGCTTGCTACAACTGTGTGAGCAGATTCCTCGTGGCGCTGGATGGTACGTGTCAAGGCGGTTTTCTATTGTCTGGCGCAACCTGCTAACTACCTGAAATACACAGTCGGCGAAAGAAATGCCACAGGCCCTGATGCGCCGGCTGCTCACTGAAGGGAGTTTCCTGGATGACCACATGAGACAGAAACACCGCACGAAAGAAAAGCACAAGCAGCCATAAGGGAAAAGGTATAGTGAAGTGGACGACAGGGCCGAATCGAAAGGGACCAATGCTGTGGAAAAGGGGGTATCTACTCTAAGTAAAAGTGTTGTGTCAAGATTGTAAAGGAAACTCGTCAGGCGTCTCGCCATTCCTCGTGTCGCACCTAGTGTGCTCTCATATCCCATATACTTGTTGGGGTGTCGACCGTCGGCCGTGGGCTCCGCGCTACCTCCGTCGCTCGTTTTCAGCATCATCAGTAAGTCGTGAGTGGGCTGGTGTGCCGCTGATCTTCATGTCTCTACATGCGGTCGTCTCGTTGAGTAGTTGAACGTTACACTGCCAGTCATGGCAGCTTGCTTAATGCGAGTTCCTGCTCAATCGATCTCTCGATAAAAGCGTGTCTCGCCTGCAGCTTTGGGCTCCTCTGCAGTTCCTCCACGACCCCCGCCCACCCGGTACGGTGGCTAGGTCTTGCGTTGGATGAATGCCCGATAGCCTGTGTTGTCAGCCTCCGCAGCGGCGGCTTTCTCTTGATCTCTTCATTTAGTGCTCGTGAGAGGAGCATCGCCGGCGTTGGGGCCATGGTGGGCGCGGGGGGGATCTTGGAGGCTGCGACGGCAGCAGTGCCAAGTTTCTCCGACTCCCTCTCCTGCCTCCTCTCCTTCTCCTTTGGCGACGACTGCTTCTCAACTGCTGGAGGCGCCCGCTCCGCTACGATGCCGAGGTAGACTACAAGGAAGCGCATGCGTAGCATGTCCAGCCTGCGATTGCGCTCCTCGAGATCGCGTCGCGTGACAGCCCACAGGACCCTCGCGCTCGCTTTCAGTGTCGTAGTTATGTTGAAGCTGGCCAGCTCGTCATTTTCGTCCCCATCGAGACCGCTCGTTACGAACAGGGCGCACAAGGCCTCGCGCAGATCATCGCCAGCTCGCTGGATGTCGCGCAAGAGGCGGACGAGTCGGATTTTATCCTCAAGGCGGGGCACCTTGGTCAGGTCGCGGTCATAGCTTTCGTTCTCTTCTATGGAGGCATCGAGGGCGTCGAGGAGGAGGGCGGCTTCGCGGGGCGCTGCCAGGTAGGCGGCAGCATGCGAGGCCAGGAGCTGGCCGAGGACGACGAGAGACAGACAGAGGGCGGTCAACGCGAGTATGATGGTCCACTGCTGGGGGGCCGCCGCGAGTTCTTCCATGTTGAGGGCATAGAGACGGTATTCAGGAGAGCGATCCGGGTGAGTCGGGGAGCAGTGGGAGCAGTGGGAGCAAATGGGACGGTCAGGACAGATATGGCAGTACGAGGGAAATGGCAGGGAATGTGGTGTGAAAGAGGCGACAACGATGACGAGGAAGTGCGCAACCGCAAGGTTCGAGGTGGTGTGCGACCCTCGGCTGCGAGTGGGAGGATGGTGAGGGTTGAACGACCTGCTGCCGCCCCATCAGGGCCAGTCCGTCCATCCCTCACAGCATTCACAGGCGCCGGCCCTCCCCCCCTTTCGCCCCGCGCCGCCGCAAGGATGCCTGTCTGGCTTGTCTGGCCTGCGTTAGCGAGTGCTTCTCCGTTCATGCTGCTGCAACGGCGGTCAAACCGTGGGCTCAGTGCCCCCCCCCTGTAGATGCAGGAGAAGCGCTGCTGGCTACTGGGCGAAAGAGCACAGGCGGGAGGCTGGGAAGCAAGCGTGCGGGGTCTGTAGTGGGCCAGGACCGCAAGATGTTTGGGTTGAGGGTAAGGTAGGGAGCGAGAGGGTTGGCGAGAATCGTCGTATATCATGTGCTAGGCCAAGCGACCCCGCCGGCTCGGTTTGGATGGGATTCCATCGTTCGGTACGCAAGTGGAGAGCAGTCGGTCGCTGTCATCTGAAGGCTGAGGCCTGCCTCTGACAGGAGTGATGAGGGCTGGTGGCAGGATATGGCAGGTCTTGCAGATGGGGGAGAATATCCAGCACACTGGGAGACCAGGCGAGCGCCGTGTTTCCCAACAAAGCGTCCACTGGGCGTTGGCCACATGGGTTGGGGGGCAATGCAGCCTGCAGGCCGACATGCGCCCGACGTAAGGTAGTACCATGTAGTGGTTTGCCTGCCCTTGCTTCGCGGCGTACGCAGGGCATTTAGTGATCTAGACCCATCTCACATGCGCCATACTGAAGCCCCACTGAGCAAGCTTCTCCTGCCTGACTTTACCAATTGTCACATTGAGTATTACTGCCCAATAAGACCTACGCCAACGATCCATGGCAGCGACACACATCTCCCAACACAAAGTCAATCAAGGGTAAAGGGGAACTGAGGTGTTCGTATTGTAATAAGATAACTGCCGCCTCCATGCCTTATCCGGGGTATCAAGTGTCTGTCGACTCTAGGTGTTTCGCTTGCGTCCATTCATCGTCACCAGTGTCAACCCTTACTGCTTTGCCGAGGCTTGCTTCTGGATGTCATGCTCGGCTCCACGCTGCTGCGTCTTGCCCGTGTCGTGAAGGTCCTGGTAGTGCTGCTGGCCGCTCTTGTCACCCGTCAGGCCAGCGACGGCGCCTCCAATAGAGCCCTGGAGACGGTTGCCGACGCCAGACGCAAAGTCATTGACCTGACCCTTTGCCTCCTGCTGCTGGCCCTCGAGGTTCTGCTGACGGCCTTGTTCCTTGAGGTTCTGGGAGCCAACGAGACCACCGACGGCCTCCTTGGCCGAGCCCACGGTCTGGTTCCACGAGCCGGCAGCGCGATTGGGGTCGTCCTTGGTGACAGCCCCAGAAGAGGACGCGCTGAAGCCAGGGAGCTTGGCTGTGGCGTGCGAGGCGCTGTACTCGGCGTCGGCCTTCTGCTGCTTGGCCTCGCCCTTGTTCTGGTCGGCTGTGTTGCCCGTGATGCTACCGACAAGGTTCTGGGCCGCGCCAGTAGCCGAGTCGAGGTAGGACTTGAGGGTAGACGTGTTGTCGTTGGCAGACATGTTTGCTTGTGGTGAATTTTGGTAACTATAGAAAACTGTTGTTCAAGGTGATGGATATGATGAAGATGGTTTCTTGTGGAGGTTGTGTGAATGATGAAGTCCAAGTCATCTCTGTTCTGGCGGAAAACAGCATCCTTATGTACTAAGGCCGCGGCTGCCGTTTAGGCCAGCGCGCCAGCAAGTAAATCCCGTCTTCCTAGCCTCACGATGCAGTTTCCGTCTGTCTTTCCGTATGATTCGGCCTGTGATGTCATTTGGGGTTGCCCTGCACCTCCCCTATCCATCAAGAAGGAGGGCGTCGGCGCAGGACCGGGTTTGAGTGTGGAGGGTGGAAGGAGGGGCTGTACATGGTAGTTCTATGATGTCATGTTCTAGCTCCATGCTTGTCCAGCAACGACCACACGACCCCCTCTCTCCTGCCCTACCTACGCGTCGTAATGTACGGTTAGGTATGCAAGCATGTTGGCGGAACCTTCCAATGAACTACACGATCATGGAGCTATATTAGACAATGGCGAAACCCGGCCGTCCCACGACGTAATCGGCCCTTGTGATCTTTCGGCCTCGCTCCTGTGCTGCCTGCCGCACGTCCTGAAACATGTTGGGAACGCGTCCTCTATGGCTACGACCATGCATGTGAGATGCCGCATGTCTTTGCTGGGAAGCAGCATGTTCCCAATCAAGCCCCAGGGCTACCGCCAAGGCTGCGCCGACCCTTCCCAAGGTACCCGCGTAGCAGGCGTACCGCTCGAAGGGTTTCAACTGCGAATTCTGCCACCCTGCACCAGGTGACTGATTAGCTTCGTCCGAGCCAATTCCCGACCCTGGCTGAAGTCATTAAGTCCACGAAGTAAGCGGGCACGCTGACAATGTAGGCAAGCACGCAATACTTCGACAATTGTGTGTCAGATGTGTTCTTTCTTTGATGTGATTTCTTCAGCCAACGTCATCAGGCTTCCCACTAGTCGTGATACATCAACTGGCTTCCTCTTCTGCAACGTGAGCCCATATTTGTCCCTATAGACAGGAGGCCTCTGATACTAGAGCACTTTATGCCCGCTCCTCTCCCCGCCTCCTAAGCCAAACTCCGAGATTCCCGTAAAGAAAGAAAGACTGGCCTAGTGACAGGCCGCGCTCAATCATCCTCGCCTGGTGGTATTACAGAAACTAAAATCCATAAGGGTGGTCCCTAAACGAGGAACCCGCTAGTAAAAACCCATTCCCTCTCGTACAGTCAAGACGCTCACATGTCTTGCAAATTAGTGCTGGCTCCATTGGATCGTGCTGAGGTCGACACCGTCCTGAACAAGCTCCCACAGAGGACTCAGCTCACGGAGGAAATCAACGCGCTCCTGGACAGCCTTCAGAACGTAGTCAATCTCCGCTTCAGTGGTGAAGCGGCCAATGCCGAATCGGATACTGCTGTGCGCGCTCTCATCGCTGTTACCCAGGGCTCGTAAAACGTAGCTGGGCTCCAGAGAAGCCGAGGTGCAAGCACTGCCGGACGACAGAGCAATATCCTTCAGCGCCATGAGCAGCGACTCACCCTCGACGTAGGCGAAAGATACGTTGACACAGCCGGGATAGAAATGGTTTGGGTCGCCGTTCTGGTTCGTGTGCTCCATAGAGAGGAGACCGCCAAGAAGCCGATCGGACAGTGCCTTGATGCGCTTCGAGTCGTACTATGGGGAGTTAGTCCATTATTCCACAAAACCTATACTTGATTGATGGAAATGGGTGCAAAGGTATAATATTCAGACGGAGTGCTGTGTCACAACAAGTGTCCTTGTCACGGGACTTCAGAAAGCCATGCATGTATAAGAGCAACATCATCATAATGGGGCAACGCGAAGATCAGTAAGAGAGAAAAAAATGTGACACGTACCTCCATCTCCTCGTACGCGATGCGACACGCCTCACCAAATCCGACGATCAGCGGAGGCGCGAGCGTGCCGCTGCGTAGGCCACGTTCTTGACCACCTCCGGTAATGATGGGATCCAATCTGACACGAGGGCGTCGCCTAACATAGCAGGCGCCAATTCCCTTGGGGCCATAGATCTTGTGGGACGAGATCGACATGAGATCGATGTTCATCGCGTTCACGTCAAGAGGCATCTTGCCAACGGCCTGTGCAGCATCCGTGTGGAAGAAGACCTTGTTCTTGCGGCACAGCTTGCCGATTTCCTCCATAGGCTGGATCACACCAATCTCGTTGTTCACGGTCATGATGCTCACGAGGGCAGTCTCGGGCTTGATAGCGGCCTCGAGCTGAGCCAAGTCGATCAGGCCCGAGTTGTTTACAGGCAGGTAGGTGATCTCGAAACCCTCATCCTGGAGATGCCGACAACTGTCGAGCACGCACTTGTGTTCGGTCTGGGTGGTGATGATGTGCTTCTTCTTGCCGGACCTCCCGAAGAATCGCGCGACACCTTTGATGCTCATGTTGTTGCTCTCGGTGGCACCGCTCGTGAAGATGATTTCCTTGGAGTCGGCACCAATAAGCTTCGCAATATGCTCGCGAGCTTCCTCGACAGCGGACTCGCTCTCCCACCCGTAAGCGTGCGTCTTGGAATGGGGGTTGCCGTAAATGCCGGTGTAGAAAGGAAGCATGGCGTCAAGCACTCGCGGATCAACAGGCGTAGTCGCTTGCATATCGAGATAGATGGGCCTCTGACCTTCCTCCATGGTCGTGACCTGCTTGAGCACTTCGGCCATGGGACTCACGACAACGTTGGAGCCATCGGGAGACTGGTCGATGAAGTCCTTCTTGTCCAGCTTGATGGCGGTATCGACATTGACCTGTGCGTGGTCCTGCCTCGTCTCGGAAACGTTCCGTCGCTGCGTGAACTGCTGGATGGGTCCCGCGATGACCCTCGGCGCGGTAGGTAGCCTCCTAAGGGGAGAGGCCGCTGTGGTACGGCAGAGGCGGCCTGCCTGCCTCAGCGCTGATGTTGAGATGCTAGCCATGATGATGTGATGGGGATGGCATGGGGAGGGGATAGAAGATCAGAAGGAGGAGGGGAGGAAGGTTTTGTGAGGGAGATGAGGAGGCCCGAGAAAAAAAGATATGTCAGCACTTCTGGCTGGCGATGCGGCAAATCGGAGGCGAATGATCCACCCTAGCTTTCTCCATCATTTCATGCTCTTATCCAATCGCCCTGGTATTTTTTGCAATTCCGCGAGTTTGGCCCGTCGGCGTCCGTCTCTGGCTCGGGGATAGATCTGGTGCTCGGTGATTGGCTGCCACCCTGGCTGCCTGGTGCCGCTTGGCAAAGCCCGTCTGATGACGTTATGGTTTGAGAACACATCCGAGTGAGACGGATAGGCTTAGAAGCTTGGGTGAGGGGGGCGTCGCGAAAATGCGCTGCAGGGCCTCCTTTTCTGAAAACATGCTCGAGAAAAAGACGTTCCTGCGGGCGTCTTTGTATTATACTCTCGTAAAACTGCAGAAGTAGGAGGTCCAAATTGGCTTTGTGTAATCCACGTCTTCCGTCGTACCAGACTCCCACGCTGGAGGTACCTAGCGAGGCAGTCAGGTAACCTTGGGGTGTCAACGCGTCCCCCAATGCGTCTGTGATCGCACGCGCCACAAGCCAAGCCGGCCGCGGGACAGTTGGAGCTGATTGACTGTGGACACAGCCACGACTCAGTCGTCACCGGCACAGCACCAGCGTCACCAAATCAGGCCTAAGCCAGAGGCCGCCTTGCGCCTGCACCCATCCAAGTGTGCCCGTTCCTCATAAGGTTGGAATGCCCTCACTACAGCTGTGCATCCTTCCGAACCCTCGTACAAACACCCCTTAGAACAACAGCCCTACCGACCGCCCTCCCCCTCCTCCCACCGAGCATTCCGGCCCATCCGTTTGAACCCCAGCATGAGCTTTCGCGGCTTCCAGAAGAGCGTCGTTAGGGTACCATCTCTCCCCCACAAATTGAGGGGCACCAGCCCAGTCCCGTGTCCCAGCTTGTCGTGTCGCGACAGGTTGTGTGTCGGTGATCTACGTACGAGCATCTTGACTGACCTGATATTCCTTCTGTGTCCTCCAGGCGCCGCAAACGTTCAAGTCTCGCTTCAATATTGGCGAGCAGACCAAAGACGCCGTATACAGCGATTCAGAGCGCAGGTTCCAGGAGCTCGAGACCGAGACCAAGAAGCTTCACGATGAATCAAAGAAGTACTTCGACGCCATCAACGGCATGCTCAACCACCAGATCGAATTCAGCAAGGCCATGACCGAGGTCTACAAACCCATTTCTGGTCGCATGTCCGACCCGGACACCCTGAAGATTGAGGGCAATCCCGAGGGCATCCGCGCTTGCGAAGAGTATGAGCTCGTCGTCAAGGACTTGCAGGACACCCTGGCGCCGGAGCTTGATATGATCGAGACGAGAGTTATCCGCCCTGCGACCGAGTTGCTCGACGTCATCAAGGCCATTCGCAAGACAGCAACCAAGCGCGACCACAAGAGGATCGACTACGACCGGCATCGCACCACCCTCAAGAAGTTGCAAGATAAAAAGGAACGTAGTGCCAAGGACGAGAAGGCTTTGTGGAAAGCCGAAGGCGACACCGAGACAGCCACCCAGGAGTTCAACTACTTCAATGATCTGCTCAAGGAGGAGCTGCCGAAGCTCTTTGCCCTCGAGCGCGAATTCATCCAGCCACTATTTCAGTCCTTCTACTACATGCAACTCAATGTCTTCTATACTCTGCACGAGAAGATGCAAAGCTGCGACATTGGCTACTTCGATCTCACCCGGGACATTGAGGAGGCCTTTCACGCCAAGCGAGGCGACATCCAGGAGCAAGCCGAAGCCCTCTCTATCGTCAAATTTAAGACCACTGGACAGAGGCGGCCGCCGAAATACGGCCGTCCCGCACTGGAGGGCCCTCGCACTCAGGGCCTCCTGACTGCCGGCCCTTCGAGCTCCAGCCCCTCTGTCCCAACCACCTCGAAGCCCCTCGCGCGCATAGGCTACACCCCCACCGGCCAGGCATCAGCAGACAGCGAGTCGCAGCCACCTCCGCCCTACTCTCCCGGCAGCCCCGGCCTGCAGGCCATGGCGGCAGCGAAGGGTAAGCCTCCTCCACCGAAACCCAAGCCGAGCCGCTTCAGTGCCGTGCCCGTGGCAGAAACCGTGACGGCTTTGTACGACTACGACGCTCAGGCCGAGGGTGACTTGAGCTTCCGAACCGGCGATGTCATAGAGATCATCACCCGTACGAAGAACGAAAATGAGTGGTGGACCGGCAAGTTGAATGGAAAGCAAGGCCAATTCCCAGGTTTGTCACCCACAATGTCCTCTGCTGCTCTTCACTCGATACTAATTTGTTGCGCAACAGGTAATTACGTGCAAACAAGCAGCTAAAACGACAGTGTCGCGAGGCCACACAAACATGATTCTGGAGCAGACACAGATATCGAGCTTGAGGGTACAATCAAGAAAAGGCCTCATCCGAGTCCCGCCTACAGAGGGAGACAAGGTGTCGTACGAGAGCTGAAGAAACTTGAGGGGTGGATTGCATATGGGACACTTGGCGCATGCAGAAAGGGGGACAGCGGATTCGAACCGGCTAGGGTGGGAGCGAGCCCGGCCTTGCATCGTTTCTCCGAAGACTCAGGGATAAATCGAAAGACTTTATGACGGGTAGGCTGTCTTGTTTGTTTCGGATTCCATCTTCTTGTATTGATGGAGAGCAGGCGTTGCTTAGTTGAACCGGGGTAGAGACGGGGGTGTGGTGGTGTGGGATGTGGCCTCTGGTGCCTGCCCGACACATATCATCTAGTGGATTTATATTGTTCGCCACAACATGCATGGGCATGGCGTCAGCTGTGAATGTATGATTTTCGTGGAGGGTGGTCATTGAAATCACATTGGAAATTGATTTGCTATTGCACCCAGAGGTACACGAGCCGAGGGCCGTGAATACGCCTCAATTATCAATGGCGGGCCAGCCTTCTCTTGAGAAAGGGAGGGGGGATTCGATGTTTCCTTGGCCTTGAATGCTTTTCCACATTTATAATTCGCTACTTGATGGCGCTGGGACCTAAACAACGCTCTGATTCTGTGCGCGACGCGACACTTGTTCGTCTTCTACCTCCACCTGTGTCTGTAGCCAGGGTCGAAGGATAGTAGAACAACTGGCCTCAGTACATTGGGACCTCGTTCCCCCAAGGCGTATACGATGGATCTGTCGTCCGCTGTCCCTTGTACCTGGAAACGTCCAGGGTAACGTGGGTTGAGGGCAAAGTATGGGTTCAACTTCGTGTGAAGATTTGGCGTCGCTCCAACGGGCCAGAATGCGGCCGGCATGGCCTCACTGCTCTTCGTAACAGATCGTAGTCGGAGCCAGGACTGGGTTGGAGAGCTGATCTCGCCGCCTGAAACAGTGGCATAATATGGAAAGACTTCCAGAAAGCTCTCGCTGTCTTGATGGTATGAGCGGATGTATGGTCTATATGAACTGTATCGCTGAGAGGTTTCAAGTGTGTGGACGAGTGAGGCTTCGCGGAAGCCCGAGGCCTGCTCCTTGCAAGCCACTGGTGGATTGCTGCAAGCAGCAGGGGCAAAGTCGAGAAAGGTCTTGTAGGATGTAGTCACTGGAGGCCAAACAGCCTCTGGGCTTTCTTTCCGGACCTCGACGATAACCAACTTGCCGGTGTGCGTGTCGGTCTCCAGACTAATGGTCGTGCCATGAATCGGCCCCTCCTTGTGATTTCTGCGCCAGAGGCCTTCCTTGGGGGCAACCTCGAGTTTCTGGGGCGCTGCCAGGGGGAACCTAACTGCATAGTAATGCGACATCCAGTCTGCATCACGAGCTTGGTTGGCATTCGAGGTCGCCGAGTTGGAAACGACATACATGTAGTTTCCGATAATCTCCACACACACAGTTTTGCCCAGCTCATCCCCTACTGGTGCTGGCGTCCGAACTTGCGGCAGTTTCCAGGTGCGGCTGGGTACGTCGAACAACTGCAGAACAAGACAACCGCGGCCATCGGCGACGTTTTCCCATTCTCCGATCCATACTTGCTCGCTGTTGTTGCGGACAAAGCAAAAGTCTTCTTGCCCAGGACGTGCCAACGGATATGTCAAAACCAATTGATTGCTTGCAGGACGAAAGACCAACAGTGTGCTGTGTGTATTCTGCTTCGTTTGGGACGTACTGGTGGGTCTAAAGATGCACGACACGAATCCGTCTGCGTAATAGATTGGCTCAACTAGGGGCTTCAAGTTCCAAACGCTTCCCCCAAATCCGATGTGTGTCAGGTGGATGACTATCTCGGCTGACGAAGGTTGGCGCAAGTCGAGAAGCCGCAAAGTATTCATGACGGTTCCTCGGTCATGTGACGTATAACATAGCATGCCATTGGAGTAGACAAAGGCATCTACCATGGCAACAACGCCGGCAAAGAAGGGGTTGGCGGTCCTCACGGCCAATTGCCGCTTGACGAAGCGTCGCAAGCCGTGAGCGTATGAGCCATGGAAATTCCGCGAAGAGGCATCTTTGAGTTCCACTGAGAACGGAGCATATACCTAGAAAAATCGATCAGCCGGACAGCCGTCGATTACTTGCGCGGGTCTACTTGCCTGGAGGGTCTTTTTGGCGATATAATCGTTATGCATGAGAGCCCAGTTCAGGCGATGACAAGTTAGACTCGTACTGTGTATGTCCCGGGGGGCAAGATCGGCGGCTATGATGGCCAGAACCTCGAAAGGAAGCCGATCAAGCCTTGCCATTGAAGCACTTTGTTGTCAACGTCACAGAGTCGGGGTTTGATAAGAGATCGCGTATGCCGGCGGATGTGAACGGTGAGGGCATCCAATGAATGCAGTGAAAGATGCTCTATATCATTCCTGGAACGGTTGTTACTGGTACATGTCTTCTCGTCGGGGACTTAAAGATGGGAATTCGATGAACGATACAATGATGCAGGCCCGCGTGTTCGAAATCTTGCGGCGAGGGAGCGACCACCATGCAAAGCGCCCTCGTTATACTCTGTGGGCAAGAGGAACCCACGGCCTAATTACCTAGAGGTAGGTAGGTATTCTAGGCACCGTCGCTCAAGTTGTGTTCCACCCACCCATTTCCTGAGCATCGCCCCGTTGATTTATACGGGATGCGGCTCTGCTCAACCATCGCAGGGAAAGCTTGCTTTTGATGACAAGTGAACAGCGCATGGAGCCTAGATGCGATGTGATGCTACCTGCAGGCCGTCTGTCACCGAGCCAATTGGGACCAGTCCGTAGGGGCCTGCCGGCGAGGACATTGTAATGTATTGCATCCTGGCAGGGATGCAGGTACAAGGAATCTCCAGACAGACTTACCCTGAGCAGGTTTGTGACCAGGATTGCAGGAGTGTCAAGTTGTTTCGGGAAAGCGGGGTCGTGAATAGTAGGAAGGGTCCAATGAAGGGAATGTGAGAAGGAAGGTGAGCCTCACGACACGTCCTTTGGGGCCCTGGCTGTTCTGGATGCATCACCTGTCCCTCCTCTGTCGACACATGCTCGACATTCTGCCACTCATATCCCTCTTCACGGCAACACCCTTGGTTGTTGCCTCTTCAGGCCACTGGTGATAGAGGTGGGGCAGAAAAACCAGTCGGATTGACCATCGCGACAGAGAACGCCCGCAGTTCAAAAGCCACAGCCTGCTCCGCAATGACTTGTTCAGGCTGTGTTAAGGCTCAAGAAACGCAGGCGTCACCACACCAGTCAGACAGAGGGCGTGCCTTCAGCATCTTTGAGATGCGGGGTCAATTTGGGGGCCAAAAATCAAACCGGCGTGTCCTGTGTCCTTGAACCATTAAATGTTCCCAACTCCTTCTTGTATCATGTGCCACATACTCGCCGTTTCGTAGACGAGGAGGAAGGCAATCGTGCTTGATCTGAAGTGTGTGCTGTGTTGAATGGCAAGAATGGGTTGGTTACCTAAGGTACCTTTACACTGCCACCAATGTTGAGGTGGTTCCCCACTGTTCAATGCCGTTCACGCCCAATCATGACCTCCGCAAAGAGGTTTACTTGCGGCGCGAATCGTCATCAGCCAGCGACGCTCAGGAATCAGCACAGCCTGGCGCCTTCTTCCTGCAACACCATCCCTGTCTCAAGTTGACTCTTGGTGCTGTCTCAGCAAGCTGCCACGTAGACCAAGAGACGAGAGATATCCCAAGACGAATCAGAAGACTACAGTCGTCGGCCGACCATGACGACACAGGATAGCAAGGATATCGACTTATGGTCAGAATGCACGACCGATAGGATCCTCGAAGTAAGAACGAGTAAGATGAAAAAGATGCCCGGGCTCCAGATTGAAAGCGGAATCGACAAATGTGTGTGCACCGACTCTGTGCGTGTGACCCGCTTAGGTCTCGACGGCGACGAGCATGATCCAACCTTTCATGGTGGGGTGGACAAGGCTGTCCATGGGTGTAAGTGACCTGGCAACGTGCAGGTCGTCACCTTGGAGGAGGTGAGACAGATGCTGACTTGACCCTACAGACTGCAGTTCCCACTATCTGGGTTGGCAGCGTGAGTACCCGTCCGCTGCAGGTCGTTTCCGTCCCGGGGGCTTTGGCGAGAACCTCGTCACGCGCCACTTGAATGAGCGCAACGTCTGCATCGGCGACAAATGGGCCGTGGGCGACTCTGTCGTACTGCAAGTCAGCCTCCCACGCCAGCCATGCTTCAAGCTTAACCATCGCTTCCAACTCAAGAATTTTGCGCCGAAGACATTTCGATCGAGCCGTACGGGCTGGTACTACCGCGTCTTGAAAGAAGGAAACGTCAAGGCAGGAGACAGCATGACCCTGATTGAACGTCAGTGGCCCAAGTGGACTATTGAACGAGGGCAAGAGTTTCTACACCGGAACCAGGAGGACCTAGCGGCGAATGAGGAGCTGGCGGCCATCGAAGCAATGGGCGAGGAGAGCCGTGGCGCCTTCCAGAAGAGAGTGGCCAAGGCCAAGGCTAGAGCGAAGCGCAAGGGGGAGACGGAAAAGGGGGAAGTCTGGCGCGAGTACTACATCGCTGAGAAGACGACGCAAACACCCCGCATCGCGTCCTTTCTTCTCAAGCTTCGCGTGCCCATTGACGAGGAGGAGCAACAGATCCCCAACGGCGCCCATGTGAAGCTCCTCCTTCCCAATGGCCTGCAGCGGTCTTATTCCGTCGTGTCGGGAAATCATCAGTGCTTTGAGCTAGGTGTTGCATTGGAGGACGACTCGCGAGGCGGATCGAAGTGGCTTCACAGCGTCATACCCGGGCCGGACGCTGTGGTCCAGGTGGGCAGGTTCACAAACGACGTTCCCAATGCTAACGCGGCGAGCAACCACGTCTTTGTCGCTGGCGGAGTCGGTATTACAGCGTTTCTGGCCTCACTGGAGGCGTACCACAGCATCAATTACAACATTGAGCTGCATTATGCTGTGCGTTCGGCAGATGATGTGCCTTTTCGACAGCGCATTGAAAAGCTAGGCGCCAGCGTCAAACTCTACGACAAGTCCAAAGGCCAGCGCCTGGACATTCGCGAGATTGTGCGAACGCTCAAGTGGAATAGCCAGCTGTACTTCTGTGGTCCGACTCGCATGATTGAGTCTGGTCGCAGAGCCGTCCAGGAATTTGGCGTGGATGAGAACGAAGTTCACTACGAAGCTTTCTCAGCAGACACCACAGGCGACCCATTTGATGTGGAAGTAGCCAATCGAGCTGGTAAGATCGTACATGTGACTCAGGAAGAAACGCTACTAGAGGTCCTGAAGAGAGAGTTTGGAGGTGATCAAGTGGAGAGCAGCTGCGAAGTGGGTAATTGCGGAACTTGCAAGATCAATCTGAAGGATGGGACAATCGAACACAGAGGCACCGCATTGACGACGGAACAAAAAGAAAGTTCCATGCTGAGCTGTGTCAGCCGTGGAATCGGGAGGATTGTGGTTGAGGTGTAAGGCACCTTACCTTATTCGTAGAGTGAAGCCATCATGGAGTGGAGCAAGCTGGGTCTTATCCATGCATTGCTAGTGGTTGACTGGAGAAAAGCATGGGAACTTCGACCCACCAGTAGCCTTATCTTTTACTTCCTCATTTTTTTGGAGCTGCCTTTTGCTCCATTGCCCAGTTCAACCAGTCTCGATGGATCCAGCAACGCAGCTGCTCGCTCTTTCCGTCACACCTTAGACCTTCAACGACACCATATTGCGAACGCCGATAGCCAACAGGAGAAAGATAGAAACATGGCGCCCGAAGAAACGGAGGATGGCTTCACCGTCTTCCCAATCCAAATGCCGGCGGTGCCCTCGTGCCCCATTACTGCCATCCACGAAATTCGACTTCGACGAAACACGCCCAAGATCCCAACTGCCATAGATGGTCGGAGTCTCTTCTTGAAGAATGTTCCAGTCGATGCGTCAGAAGCACACTTTCGCGCCGTCTTCAGCCACCTCGTCGGCCCCGGCCGCTTCGAGAGCATCGCCTTTGAGGGCGAGCGCAGGAGGCGGCTCGAGCTCGATCCCGCCTCGGCCGCTAAGATATCTGCGATCGTCAAGAAGAGGAAGCGCGATGAACAGGAGGCCGAAGAGCACGCGCGCGAGGAGGAGTTGGCACTGCTGCCCGAGACGTGGACGCGCAGGATACACAAGAGCGGCGGCAGCGCCATCGTTCTAATGGCCGATGAGAAGAGTGTCGACCAGGTGCTGAAGGCCATTGGAAAGGCCAAGAAGAAGAACAAGATGCCTGTTTGGGGTGAGGGGGTTGCCAGCGACTCACCCGGGCTGGGCGCACCGTGGGTTGCGGCTCACCTGCAGCTGTCGAGGGCCGACAAGGCGGCGACGCAGAAGTCGGTGCACGCCTTCTTCAACGTGTTCAATCGCAAGGAGAAGGAGGCGGCCGAGACAGCCAAGAGACTGCGGAATGAGCCAGATGAGGATGGTTTCGTCACCGTCACGCGTGGCGGACGCGCAACCCCTGCGACAAAGAACGAGGCCGAGGCGGCACGACAGAAGATGGTCGACCGTGCGGCCAAGAAGAAGGACGAGACAAAGGACTTCTACCGATTCCAGCTGCGCGAGAGGCGCAAGGCCGAGCAAGCACTGCTGCTGAAGAAGTTCGACGAGGACAGGCAGAAAGTGCTTGCTATGAAGGAGAAGAGGGGGAACTTTAGGCCAGAGACTTGAAGCACTCCTCGACCCCAGCATACTACGTGGCCTACAGAACAGCGCGCGATCCAAGGTCAGTAGTGTTTTTTTTGCATGTTTCTGGTTTTTCCCTCGACCATGATGACGCACGCGGGGCCAGCGAAGCACCTTGGGAGCAACGGGTCTCGACCTGAAGCTCAACTGAGGTGTGATGCCGACACAAACCGCGTTTAATATCTTCTCAAATTGTCTGAAATGCTTTTATATCTTCCCAATCAAGCGAGTGTATTGTATGAGCTTAGGCTGACTACGACCTAGATCAGGCCCGTCGGTCATCGCAAAGTCAGCCATCTACGCGTGCAAGTGCCTACTTGCCAGCAGAGGTCCAATCCCAACTATTCAAAACAGACTCGTCCTCCTAGCGATAGAGACAACAGGAAATCTGCCCTCTACATGGAATGAACCGCATAGTGCGGCATGTACTTTAGTTTACCTTGGAACACCTGGGAGATGTTAGCTGCGCAAAGTCGACAAAACCAAACAGGTATGGCGCAGGCTTTGTTGGCCCGTTGAGATCAATGCTTTCACAGCTCAGGCCTGGCTCACAACATGGATTCTCTGCAAGTAAAGTACCAGGAGGCTTAGGCATGAGGCTACTGCAGAGAACGGCAGCCATGTCATCGAGTCATTCAAGAATACAATACCCTTTTTAACGATGCTGCTTCGAATCAGTGTTTAATGCGGCACGAAGTGTGTTGAGCCCAGGTCGTATTCCTTGCAAATTGTCATCACCAGAAATTAGGGCGGATTGGCGTCTCATTGTCCTGCACGACGAAGACGAAGACATGTCCCACATGCTTTGGCGAAGTCAATGACTTCCCGAGATGCGAAACTGGCAGATAGGCTTCTTGCGCGGGCGGCGAGTTCAGTGAGCAGTTCATCGATCTATGTATATCGGCCAACCAGGTAGGCCGAGCTAAAGCAATTCATCTTGCTTTTCGTGCGTAGTGTTACAACAGTTTCTCAAACAAAGCCCCTTACCCCAGCTGGCTGAATCATCTCGATGACTGAGTGAACAGGGCTAGCTTCTAGTCACCCACGTCCCATGCAGCCCCCTACCTATGTCATGGCTTCCACCTTTCCTTTATAAACTCCTCCTGCTGCGGTTTGAGCGCCGCTCTCATCGGCTGCTTGGGCGGCAGATCGGGCAAGATAGCGTCAACAGGGACATGATCGCTATTCATGATGGTACCAGAGCCTCTCTACCGCTGCTGCTGTTTCTGGAGCCTCTGCATCTCGTTTGAGTACAGAATCTTGAAACCGTTGCAGAGACCTCTCATGTCTGGGTACTGGTTCTTCAGCAGCTCGTATCCCTCATGGTGGACCTTGACCGGCATGGCATTCACCCGCGAAGACTTGTTCGCCTTGAAGCAAAGCCAGAAGTATCCTGGATGCTTAGGGTTGATGCAGAAGGCATACGCAGAGCGCGTGGGGTTGGCGTCGATATAAGTGGTAAGCCACTTTTCTGTGCGGGGGTCAGTCACGATACATTATACAACTGGGCGACCACGCGTAGTTATTGGGGTCTTGCAGCACTTACCAACGTCTGCCCTTGAGCGCTTGTCGAACTTGTCGTGTTGCATCATCTCGTCAACCTTCTTGACCATGCCCTCGATGTAGCCGTGAATCAGCTCATCAAGATCTTTGTACGTCATCTTGCCAACACGAAGTAGTTGGCCGAGGGAGAAGTCGTTGGGCTTCTGCAGCTCGAGGACGTCCACGTGCTGGAATACGCCGTCGGCGACCTTCCACGTAATAGCAAGGTGGTCGTTACCCTTGGACGAGGGGCGAATAACCTTCTCGCCGTTGGGTTGGGTACCGAGCCACTGCTCCGCCTCCATGCCATTGAAGGGCTTGAACAGCATGTGGTTGATGACCCTTTGCGTTCGCCCAGTGCTCTTGTCTTTTTCACGGAGTTCCTCCTTGTCATCGGCCTCTAGTCGCTCATCCCATGTACCGTGGGGATGATACATGTGTTTCCGATAGCCGTTTTTAATGTCCCTCTCGTCAATGGAGAGCTTAGCCAGGAAGTTCTTGTACTCAACCGACACAAGCTTCGCTTGTACTGTCTGTCCGACCGAAATGACGCCCTTGATGCCCATGCCAATATTCCTGTCGTGTTCGTTGGGCTCGACCCTGCCCTCGATTCCGCAGTCAAGCTTGACAATAGCGAATTCGTCTTTCACAACCCTAACATTCACGGGGATGATCATGCCCACTGCGAGAGACTCTTTGCTCTCGCCCGTAAGCATAGTGAAGATCTCGCTATCAGCAAGCGTGACAAAGTTACGACGCAGCTCCTCGTATGGTGCCTGGAGCTCCGCACGAATAGTCTCCAGAGTCGCACGCTTCTTCTGGCTGTACTTGTCCTCCAATTGCTGGGCGTACTCCTCCAGAATAAGTTCGTTAACCTTTTCCTGGGCGTCATCTTTAAAGAGCTTGCGCACGATGGCCCCGGGGCCATTCTGATCCGTCTCGCCCTTGACATCCTCTTCATCGAGTTCAAGGGCATCAGCTGCCATCTTGCGGCCAAGCTCATAGTCTTCCGGATGCACACGTGTGTTGTCGAGGGGATCGGAAGTCGGGTTCGTTGACTCGAAGTGGATGAAGAGGAAACTGGCGCAGTTGTTCCATACTCGGGGTCCGACCACGGGAATCTTACCACTGTCGATGTCTCCAACGAGCTCGGCTCGACTGGCGACGTAGCCACCGTTGGCACTGATGGCTTTCAGCACACTCGTTGCCTTACGAGGACCAAGACCAGCAACGTAGGGAAGCAGGTTGGCCGTGTAAGAATCTCCAACAGCCTCGTTAATATCGACACCGCACAGATTAACCATGTCAACCATGGCAAACTCCAAGTTCTTCAGCAGCTTGTCCTGGGGTAGCAGCTGCTGACAGGGGTGGAAGGCGAGGGAAGTTATATCCTTGCCAAGAGCGGCATATTCCTTCAGAGGGTTCTGCATGTACCTTGCCAGTCCGATGCAGTACCGTGTGAGAGGGGCAAGTAAGGGGTGGTCGGCGACAGCACGCGGGCTGTCTTTGTATAGTCGAGCGACCTCGTCATTCACTACAATGACCTCAAGCAGCTCGGCACGATATTCGTCGGTCTCAGGGTCGTCAAACTCAGGACCCATCAGACCCTTGTCGCTGATGATGTTCTCAAGTTCGCGAACAAGCTTATGGGTGTCTGCCGACCAACCACTGACACCAATGACATCTGGACGCCGCAGTTTGACAAGCTCCACGAACTCTTCGCGAGCGGCATCGTTTCGTGTAAAGTTATCGAACCTGCCATGATCTCCGAAGCGGCCTTCTTCGTCCATCCAGGCCCAACATGTCGCGTCACGGCCAGGGTCAGCCATGCCGTTCGAGAATGTCAGAACGCGCGGCGTAGTACCCAAAACCATGCCCTTCGGCTTGTAAGGTGATTGGTCGATCTTCTTCGAGTATTCCTCGCGGCATGTGGTGAGCACTTCGTCCTGGCAGGCAGTGCGCACCGACTCCTTTACACCTTTGGCAACGTGCTTGAGGAGACGGGGAACGGCAAGCTCAAGAACCTTGGTCCTCTCGTCATTCCACCTGTCTGCGCGCTCACTGTAGTTGTCGGACACAAACTCTTGTCGGAGGTTGCGTTTGAAACCTTCGTCATTCTCCATACTGACTTTGACCTCAATCAAGCCGTCTTCTTCAGCCTTCATCATCTTGAGAAACAAGTGTGGTTGGCGGGCCATATCACCAAAGCTTTGGTGAGTAAGGTACTTGATCTCGTAGAATGGATGAGATTCGTCAATTTTCCGCAAGCCTTTTTCAGTGCGACGACAGCTGATGTCCCCCATTTCGTAGAAGTTGGCTCGGAAATGTTTGCGCATACGGGGGCTCACAAAGAGCTCCTCAGCGTACATCTGACGGGCGGCTTGCAGTACGCTGTCGCCCGTGGGGAAGTCCTCGTCGATGTATTGATCGGCAAGGTTATCAGGCAACTCGTTATCGTCATCGGCCCAGACCTTGGGCCCTTCCCTGAGTGCGTTCCGCGCGAGTCGGTCCGGTGTGATACCATATGCACGAACAAAGTCGTAAACCCTACTCCTCCGTACCTTGTCGAACAGCGCGCCTTTGGAGCCGGGCCGCTTGGTCTGTTTGGCACTTCCATTCATAGAAGCAAGGTCTTTCAGCTGCGCGGCATACTGGAAGTTGAGATAGTCTTGTAGATCTTGGAGCTCTTCCATGTTCGCAGCTTGCGTGATCATGTCCTCAAGGATGTCATCATTGACGCCCATTTCAGTTTTGAGGTTATCAAGCGTCTTTTCTAAAGCGTTCCGCTTTTCCATCAACGATCGGAACTTGATGTCGAGCTCCAAGATGCGCCACAAGTCGTCTTGGGTCAGTAGTTTATCGGCGTTGAGGATGAATTCCGGAGCATCGGGGTCATCCCGATGCGCAGGGTTGCGCGTCTTCTTGGTATGGATGAGGTAGTCCTTGCGGTGTTGGAAGACATACGGCACTTCGACGCCATCAACCACAAAGAACTCAAGGACCTTGCCAATCGCCTTGGTGAAGGGCCCGAGTAGGTCTCCCTGGAGCATCTTCTTCGGCCACAGAAGGTTCGCGATCCAACGTGCCTCCTCTTTAAATTGCTCGGCAGTGAGCTGCAGGTGCTTGAAGGGCTTCCTGTCGAGTTGGAATCGCTCGGGCTCGTCAAGTGTTCGGATTTCGTTGTCTTCGTCCGTAAGCAACTTCTCGGTAAGTTGCGAGGGCTCGAAAACGTCCTTCAGCTCAATCACCTGTTCCTCACGCTCCCTCTCTCCCTCTTCCTCTTCCATTTGCAGTGCCCAGTCGTAGTCTTCACCATTGCCAAAGATGGCCTCAAAGTCTTCCAGGGCATCCTTGTCGAGACCGGTGGTGTCGACCACGCCAGATACACCCTTATCGCGAGGACGCGCAACTTCTGCATCTTCGAGTCGCTGCATGCGTGCCTCCTCGTCCTCAGGGAAGTCCTCTTCGATGAAGTCGTCGAATTCGTCTGCTTGTGCTCGGAAGCTCGGCCGCCCGTATGGTCGTTCGTTGCTGTCCTCTTCGTCATCGGAAAACATGTCCTCGAGCCCGCGGCGCTCGGGAGGACGTTCGCTATCGTCTCGATGGCCTCTCTTGAGACGTTTGAACTTGGGCTTTTGTCGAGGTCAGCTTTACAGTGCAGACAACGACTGCAGGATGCGTGTATACATACCTCGGACGGCTTCTTGCGCTCGACTTGTTCTCCTATCAGTTCCAGGTCTTCGTCGTCAAGTTGCGCTTCCTCTTCCCGATCGCGATGTTCCCTTTTACGTTTTACAACGCGCTCACGAGCATCTGAATCGTCACCTTCATCTTCTTCATCTTCGTCTTCGTCAACGATGAAGCCCTCGCGAATCTATGGCAAAATCAGTATCGCCCACTGCACGGCAGAATCACTCAATTCAATTTACCTTGGCAGCTTCTTCTTCATCGTCGTCATCGTCTTCTTCTTCTGACGAGTCCTCCAGGGCGTTTGTTCGTGCCTTGGAGGTGCGGCGCTCGCCATCCTCCTCTCCGTATGAGTCGTCTTCTTCATCATCGTCTAGCTCGGCTTCGCCGCTAATCAGGTCTCGCATGGAGTTGCTCATGTTGGGCCACAGGTTCTGCGCCGAGCGCTGTTGAGCTATGCTCTCAGTAGGCAAGAAGCCGATCGTGCAAGTGCGGTCGCCGCTCGTACTGTGTGGCCACCTTTCTCGTCCGCTAGGTTCTCTAGCCAAAGAACAAATGCCGTGTTGATTGATGAATCGCCGAAATTGTTGTAGATTTCGGGCTGTTGTGGGGAGACGTGGTGAGGCAGTGCCTTAACACTTTGACGCGTGAAAGGAACGTGTATGTTCGTGAACCCAACTTTTCAGGGAAGGCTCGAGCCTCAGCTTGCAATGCTGCTGGTGCTTGTACTGGCGTAGTAAGATTCAATTGGGCGAAAATGTGCTCTTGTATAACGATTTCCTTTCAAGAGCTATGATGCATAAAGGTGCCATACTCCAAATAACATAAGCCAACCCAAAGCTTGGTACCTACTTACCTAAGGCACGGTACGTACCTACCAAAAGCGTGACAGATTAAGTCGCACTCTACATACGCCAAACGCGTGCATCACCCAGACAAGTCCCTTAAGCTTCAGCACCTTCTCAACACCTCAGATCTTGATCAGATGCTCTAAAAATCAAGGTCGTAAACAATTGGCAAACTATCCAACTACAATACTACTTTTGGTAGTTTCAAATCCATGTTAGATACAGTATAACGGTTCAAAATGAGGTCACCTTTTGGGCGTGTGACTCCTTTTGCCACACCCATGGATACTTAGGTAGGCGTCAAGCACAGAAACATTGGCAATACTTCCTACACTTCTTATTTTCCCTGATTGTTGTTCTTTATAATGCAGATAGACTCAGTACTTTTAACTATAGTCATGTCAAGATTACGTCTGCACTCGCCGTAGAAGGATGCTTGGTTTGGGGTACCAGGTTTCCTGGTCGATATTAGAAGCAAAGGTACTTGATTTGCATTCGCAACCTGACTAGAGGATATCCAACGATCCCATACATTTATGGACAAGCTTGACATGCGTGGGAGAACTTGGGCTTTTTTTTCAATTTTGGAGCAACAGGAATGATGTCCCGGCGTCAATATTCACGTCGCAGCTGCAGGGAATCAGCGACAGAGTGTCAATGACTGGTCGAGTGACCTGAGACCTGAACCTTGGGCAACCCGGCTGCCACGGCTACCTATGTGAGTGCATTCTTGTGAAGCCCACTCCAATTCGCGAGTACCCTATGGCCAACTGCAACGTGAGATCCTCTTAACGGCGATGGTTGGGCAGAACTAAGTACTGGTTGTGGCTGACAAGAGGTTCGTTTCGCGCTGAGCTAGCGACTAAAGTGCCATTACCATCACATTGGCATCAGACGCATCACGGGCCGAAGCGCAGCGAGACGATGGTTTCGCGTGATGACGAAGATTGAACCAGTGATGAGGATTGGCTGCGTTTAGTCACTCATGCACTCCTCGTCACGGCTCGCTCCTCGCTGCTGTTGGACAGGCACTCAGTCCAGGCAATATGGCAGTCGGAGAGATTTGTAGGGCATTGCATCAGAACGACCAATAAGCTGGGGTGCTGTCACTTGAGACACAAGCCCGTTTTGGCCATGGCAGAGCCCACGTCGTGAAGAAAGTTGGATGCTTTGACATCGTTGGCTGTTGGGGACGAAGGGTGCGTGACATATGATTTGTGACGCAGGATAGTAAGCTGCTCTGATGAGCCAGGCCCTCCACCTCCTGGTCGGATACGAAGGTCGGAAGGCCACGGGTTACGAAGCGGTGCAAGGTACGGGCTCATGGTCTCCTTCGAGGTGAAGCAAATGGAAATGCGAGCAAATCTGCAAGGAAGCGGCCTAATTAATTTACAGGTCCCCATCTCGTAGGGCAGATCTTGACACTCCAGACGGGTCCATGGGTGCTCGGGGCGCTCCAGGCGTCTATGGGGGCCCCCTAGCTGCTCGCGTCTTTCGTTCCTCCAGCGAACTTCCTATCCGAAACCCCTCTCCGGCCGCATCCCCTCCTTCCCCCATTTGTCGCTCCACCGCAAGTGTCAGGATCCCCGTCGTCTCGCTGCTGACACGCCACATTTCCGATTCGCGACTTGTGCTTTTGCTGAGCTTGACACGTCTCCCAAGACACACGGCTGTTGCGTACATCTCAGGCCTATACGTCGCTGCGGGTAACCTTGTCATACCAACGTCCCGCGTGCCTGTCATTCTGTCATTCTGTCATCCCCTGAACGGTACGCCTGCCTAACCGCCTAAGCGCCCTGGTCTTTGGTGCTGCTGCTCCGGCACTATCGACTTGTCGTACCCGATAAAACCCCCACCTCAACCGGAAAGGGACCAGGGGAACGACACTGATTAAGTGCTCCATCCTCCTCACCACACCTCGCCAAAGCGTAACATCAGGTACGCCGCGCACTTTTCTGGCAGCCTGTGCTTCGTACGCCTCGCGAGGTCTCCTTTATCTCACCTCGACTTCGAGCGTGAAGTCGAGATTCGCCGCCCATCCTGTGCTACATTGCAACGACTGCCCCGCGCCTCAGCTCATCCGCTCACCCTCTATGCCATCGGCTGCCGACACCTAACGACTTGCAACTACCGATTCATCTTCGGCGCAGTCTGTCGCCTCATCTCTGCTTTGAAAGACAATCTACGGACAGCAGAGAGTCACCTCGCTAGAACATCTGTCCGGCTCCGACTTGCGGCTTCTTCAAGCCCATTGCTACCCAACAACCATCGACGCCTCCGAACGCCGGTCGGCCACGCACATCACCCAAAATGCCCGATCCTTTCGCTCCGCGCTCGATGAAGCGCAAGAACGTCAAGGGCCTCGCCCTGACGCCTGCTGCTCCCAAACCGCCCCCGACTGCCGAAACCAGCAGACACGACTACGATTCCCGTGATCAGGACGGGAACGATCAGAGCGCACAACTCGAGATTGGCATTGAGTACAAGCTGGACCTGAAACAAGAAGACCTGGAAGTCCTGAAAGAACTGGGATCCGGCAACGGTGGTACGGTCAGCAAGGTTAGACATGTTCTTACCGGAACTGTCATGGCCAGAAAGGTGATGCTTTGTTCATGCTCATGTCGATGATGGCAATCACGCTAACGGTGCACAGGTCATCCACGTGGAAGCGAAGAAGGAGATGCGTAAACGTATAGTAAGAGAGCTACAGATTATGCATGGATGCCACTCGGCAAACATTGTCAACTTTTACGGCGCATTCCTCAACGACAACAACGATGTCATCATGTGCATGGAATACATGGACGTTGGGTAAGTAGTTATTCGTTCCTGGAGTTGTAGGCGTACGTCTGACACATTGACGTAGTTCTTTGGACCGGGTTTCGCGGGTCTTTGGTCCCATTCGAGTCGATGTGCTCGGCAAGATCGCTGAAGCTACATTAGGTGGCTTGACGTACCTTTACTCAAAGCACCACATCATGCACCGAGACATCAAACCCTCCAATATTCTGGTCAACTCTAGGGGCAGTATCAAGTTGTGTGACTTTGGTGTCTCTGGCGAGCTTGTCAACTCTGTCGCAGACACTTTTGTTGGCACATCGACCTACATGGCCCCTGAGCGTATCCAGGGCGAAAAGTATACAGTCAAGTCAGATGTCTGGAGTTTCGGCCTTACAATTATGGAGCTCGCCATTGGAAAGTTTCCGTTCGCTGCAAGCGAGCAGCTATCGGATGGGGATGGTGCCCCTGCTGGTATTCTTGACCTGTTGCAGCAAATCGTCCACGAGCCCGCGCCGAAGCTGCCGAAGAGTGACGCATTCCCTTCTATCCTCGAGGATATGATTCAAAGGTGTCTCTCTAAAGTCCCCGAGGAGCGGTCCACGCCCCAGGAGTTGTTTGTAAGTACCTGCTCCAATCGCTATGTCTACCGCGTTCCCGTGCCATACGAAGAGATAGTGTCTGACCGAACACTCAGGATCGTGATCCATTTGTGCAGGCTGCCAAGAGAACGCCCGTTAATCTCCGTGACTGGGCGGTCAGCATGATGGAGCGAGACAACCGCAAATCCCACCTGGCTCCACAACTGTCCCCTGCTACACGAGAGCTGCTAAACTCAAGCGATTCACCAACGTACCATAACAACTCTAATGATGACCGCCCATTCGATACGCCCACCTCGGGAGAGATTCCAATTGCTGGCGCTGGCATCATATCGCCAAGAGATCAGTACGGACCTTCGCACAACCGATCTCCCACTAGAAACGGGCTGCCATCTGGAAGATCCACAGGACCAGGCCATCCGGGAATGGGACAGAGGATTGTCACTACCAATTCCATCCCCAAGGCCGGTGACTATCCCAATAGTGCCGGCCCCGCCAGCGCCAGTGCTGCCACCTTTAGCCTCCCAGTTCGCCCAGCACCACCCGGAGGTCCCCTGCCGCCTCCGCCACCCCGGAAAGGAACCCCTGACGACGGCCGTAGGGAGAATAGAAGGCAGGCTACGTTCGGCATGCCGCCGTCCAACAGAGGCTACATGAATGACGTTTACAATGGGTCCTCGAATTAAACGCCAGCATCCGAAACAGCCTACACATGCTCAACACCATTTTCGGCTTTCTGCGAGGCTTACTGTCTTGTTACTCCGGTCAGAAGAGCTTGCCTCACAAATATCGCCACGGAGCCAAGACATGATGACCGGGTCCTTACAATGATGAGTGGAGGCCATACGCAGAGGTCACATGTACGTCGCCAGACTAATGTGACGCTCATGTTCTTGGCCTTCATATCAGTTTGGTACAGGGCTACTCTCCCCCTTCTCATCGTCAAAAGCTTCGTACATCTCTCTCGTTGCCTGGTGTGGCATTCTTCAGCATCTTTCGGCGTTTGGATTGAGCCCGTCTATCTTGGAGATCTGTCATTACATTCGACTCACTGTGCGTACCATCAAATAGTTGAACAGGCCTGTCTGGAACAAGTGGCTCTGCTGGGTCGTCCAGAGGATGATCTGATAGAAGATTGGGAAATCAGGTACCCAGACCGCGAGGACTGGGTTGTCACTGCAGGCGTGCAGGTCACTTAGACACCACAATCAAGATTTTTTTTCATCAATATCTGCATAAAAGTCAAGTCTATCTGATCTGTTCTGGCTTTAGCCCATCACTTCGCCCTCTCCAGGGTTATGATAGGCCTTTGCATAGGGGAAGTCATACGGTTTATATACATTTACGAGGTTGTTTGGTTTTTTTACTCAACGACAGCGTCCCTGCTAACGAAACCTTCCTCGAGAATGGGCACAAGGTCGTCTAACCGGCGAATGGCCAAGTCAGTATGCTCATGGTCCACTAGATGGACATTGACGTCGTTCGCTAACAACACGGTCGTGGCACCAGCCTTTCGGCCTGCGGTCATGTCATCGATGGAATCGCCAACCATGATGAGTCCTGAAGCATCAGCTTCTACCTCCGTCCCTGTTTCGGTCGCCTCTTTTAGGAGACCCCAGCTTCGAGCAATGTGCAAAATGCCTGCGGGATCCGGCTTGGGTGGACGAAAGTCTCTTGTGACGATGGGCGCAAACATGCTGCCTGAAAGAAATTTGCCGAGCAAGTGAGCGACGGGGGCATCGAAGTTGCGCGTGCATATGCCCTTGCGAATGCCCCGCGAGTCAAGGTAGGACATGAGTGTCTCGAGACCTGGCTGGGCGACCTGGGTGGCCATGGCCTCGCGCTCGATGGCGCGAATAGATTCCATTGCTTTCTCCTGGGCCTCGGGCGTGGGAAGAGAGTAAATGTGGTCGAGAATGTCGACGGATTTGGTAATACCAAGAGCGTCGCGCATTTGTCCGAACATATACGTCTGCGGCTCACTAGATATGTGGTGTAAGCATTTGCGGTTGATGATGCGGAGAACGTCGTGGGGTTGGAGGCGACGTACCACAGTGTACCGTCGACGTCAAAGACAACGCCTTTCAGGAGGGGAGCATCGGATGTAGCACCCTGCTTCAGAGGCGCAAACCGCCGAGGGCTATAAGACGCCATTGTCGACAGAAATCTTCGCATAGAAGGAAGGCTGCGAATCAGGAAACCTCGTTGAGCTTCATGTACCAGTCGCTTACTGAAGGATACTGGAGGCTCGGGATGTACCTATCACACCTAATAGGTATCTCGAAGGAGATCAACCAGCAGTCGCAACTAGGTACTAAGTGAAATGATTGTCAGTCACTTGCCAGCATTCGGCCAACGAAGCAGGCCTAACCCCCACCTTGGAGCAAGTGGAGTGGAGGGTGAGGGGCGAAATCGCAAGCCACAATCACAGCCACAGCTCGACGGCACTAACAAGGATGCCTGATCGTGGGTCCGCTCGAGGTTGCAGCTTGAGCTCCCAGCTATCCACTCTTCATCCCAGCAACCGCTTTTGGCAGACTGACCGGGTCTTGGCTCGTCATCTCCAAGCCTCGAGAGACATTTGCCCTTGGCCGAGCACAGTACAGTTCAACACCAACCAATACCGCAGTCGCGCTGCAGTCTGCGACCGGAAGCTTGACCGCTCGACCAAATAGACGCTTTCCGACTCGCATGACCGCACTCTAACACCGCTGGTCGCAAAGCTCGCGCGTCCGCCGCGCTCACCCCAACACAACCTTCAGAGAATGCGACAAACCCGCCGTCATGAGCACTTCGAACCACAGTCAATGGCCCCCTAAAAGACCTTCCAAGAGAAATGTAGGTGACCACTCCTGGAGGAAAGGTCTTCCAAATGAGCCCTAACCAAAGAGTTCGCAAAGTTAACATGACCGTCTTTTCCCCAAACTAGAAGCTACGAAATGGCACTGTGATCATCCCTGGCACGGGCGAGCGAAGCCATCGCCAGTTCACCCTTCGAAACCCGAGCCTCGACAACGATCGTTCCGATGACCCTGATGGCTACCGGTCTCTTTTGCTGTCCGAGACAAACAGCGAGCGCGCCCATACCATAGGACACAATGTGAAGACGAGCTTTCTGAAGTTCTGGGACTTCCTCCGGTCTCCAGCTGGCAAGGGTGTGCTCAAGTGCACCCTTGCCTACCTTCTCGGCAGCATGGCCACCTACCTCGAACCGATCTCTGACTTTTTGGGAAAGCCCGATGGCAAGCATGTCGTCGCCACCATCACTGTATACTTTCACGCCAATCGCACTTGGGGCTCAATGGTTGAATCAGTCCTCATCGCATTCTGCGCCATCGGCTACGCCCAGATCATATCCATGCTATCCATGGGCTTATCTGTGCTGGGCAACGAAGTCGGCTTCCAAGTTTTGTCACATGTCATGATATTGATCATCTGCATTGGTTTCGGCCTTGGATTCGTGGGCTGGATCAAGCAAAGAATGAACAGCCCCTTGGTAAATGTCGGGTGCACACTAGCATCCATTGCCATTATCACCATTGTCACCAAAGAAGAAGCTGTTCAAGGAGGATACTTGTCGTCCATCAAGGTTGTGCAGGTCTTCAAGATCCTTGTCATGGGTGTTTCTATCACTGCTCTCGTCAACATCTTAGCTTGGCGAACGTCTGCGAGGGCGGGTCTGAGAAGCACCATGAACACGTCAGCAGAATCTCTTGGAGACTTGCTTGCCATGATTGCCCGTGGTTTCCTCAATGGCACCGAGGAGGAGTTGTCGTCCGGTGACTACACCCGAGTGGACAAGGATTTCAAAGCATCGTACACCAAGATGACCACAAACTTGCGAGAGGCAAAGCTGGAGCACTATATCCTTGGTCGCGAGACGATCTACAAAATGGACAGAGAAGTCGTCAGATGCTTCGAGGTCCTTGCTCAATCTATCGGAGGTCTTCGCAGCGCCGCGGAGACTCAATTCGCTCTCCTGAAGGAGCTACCTCAGGACGGCCCCAACAGTATCCAGTCCCCGGGCGGCACCGTTATTTACTCGCCAACTTTGACGCGTGCCATGTCGCAGTATCTTAAGAACACGCGCGACAAGGCCGCGACACTGGCAGCAATTGAAGAGTTGGAGGAACTGGAGATGGAAGACCGTGCCAGCGCTGAAGAGGGCTCGAACTGTTCCTCTGCAACCCCTTTGACGTCATTCCGGGCGCCGTCAGAGATCTTTGAACTTTTTATTGCTCTGTTGGGCCCATCGATGAAGTCTTTGGCCTACACTCTGTCGGAAATACTGAGAGATCCAACCTTCGGACCACCGCCCAAGTACGACATAAGCATCAACGAAAATTTTCGACAGAGTCTTAAAGATGCTCTGGGCGTCTACAACGATACGAGAACAAGCGCACTTCGAGACCTGTACAAAAGCATTGAGCTGGGAAGAGCCAGGACGGAGAAGATTCAGGCTGATATTGAAGAAGTGGCGGCTGCGTGCGGCCACTTCAGTTTCAGTCTGCAGAACGTGGCTGAAGACATCGATGCTTACTTGACCGTTTTGGAGGACTTGAAGTACGCGCGCGCTACCAGTGGGCACACCTGGCGCTGGTTGAAGTTCTGGAAACACTGGGAAAAGCCTGCGGTCAAGCCTGACCCTAACGATCCCGACCAAGAAGCCCTTTTGCAACCCTCAGCAGCCGAGGAAACTCCCATCAGGCCCGTCCGCAAGTCTGGTATGCCGTCTGGCATGCCGGCAGAGATGATGAATCGGCGCGACACCTTCAACTGGGATGCCTCTCCTGACGCCAGTTCTTTCTTGCGATCCTTCTCGCAATGGTGTCTGAAGGCTATGAGGTTCCTAGCCCGAGATGATAGTCAGTTCAGCTTGCCGTACACCTCGATATCAGTTACTGACTGTATGTAGTTCGATTCGGCATCAAAGTAGGTCTGGGCGCCATGCTATGGGCCATGCTTGCTTTCCTTCCCGCAACCAGACCCATCTACAAGCACTGGAGAGGCGAATGGGGTCTGCTATCCTTCATGATTGTCACGAGCATGACGGTAGGCGCCGCCAATACCACTGGTACAGCAAGGTCTCTCGGCACATTGTTCGGCGGCTGCTTTGCCCTGATCTTTTGGGCCGTCAGCCAAGGCAACGGTGTTGTTCTGGCCTTTTCCGGTTGGGCCATCAGCTTCGGCAGCTTCTATGTCATGCTGGTTCTCAAGAACCCGCCCCTTGGCCGAACCACGCTTCTCGCATGGAATGTGACCGTTCTCTACGCCTATTCTCTGTCGCAGAAGGTCGACGATGACGACGACGACGAGGGCGGCCTGAACCCCATGATGGGTGAGATTGTGTACCACCGACTTGTATCTGTCAATCTCGGTATCCTCTGGGGCATTATTGTCTGCCGGATGATCTGGCCTATTTCGGGCAGGCGCAAGTTCCAAGAAGGACTGACAATTCTATATGTACAACTCGGCCTCATCTGGAGGCGTGGACCTTTGGCTATCCTGCTCAATAGCGACAGTACGCGGTCTTACATGAGGGCAGGCGAGGAGAAGGCTGTCCAGCGATATGGTAAGCTCACGAGCCCTTTTCAGGTCTCGCCTGAGGCATCCGACTGACACTGTATGCACGTAGCACTGAAACTTGACGCTCTTCGAGCGTCTGCCAAGTCCGAGTTCGAACTTCGTGGCCCCTTCCCCGATGATGCGTATGCGCGCATCATGCAATCCACGCTCAGAATCGTTGACGGCTTCCACGCCATGCGGCTCGTGACATCAAAGCGCGGGAGTCTTTCAGCTGGCGAACGTGCTCTCCTGCTACATACGGCAGCCGAGCGAGCTCAACTTTGTGACCGCATTTGCCACGTCTTCCAGGTTCTGGCCAGTTGTTTCATGCTCGAATACCCTTTGACAGACGCCATCCCATCGGTGGAGGGCACCAAGGACAGGCTCCTGGGTAAAATTTACCAATTCCGTAGGGAGCACCAGCCATCGCTGGCTGCAGTAAAGGAAGACGACCAAGAGGACGATGCTGGTGTGAATAACAATGATTCGACGAATGGAAACGGGAACAGGAACGGGAATGGGAAGGCCAAGTTGAAGCCACCCAAGCTCGAGCTGCACGTAACGGCCGAGGAGAAGGATTACGCTCTGCTCTATGCATATACGCTGGTAACGGCCCAAGTGGCGCATGAGCTGCAATGCGTGCAAAAGGAGATGGAAGGTCTCTTTGGTGTGCTGAACGACGAATCACTGCTCCTGCGGTAGAGGTGGTTGCGCTCTGTTTTTCGATACCACTCTTTTTCGACTCTGTTTGGGCTGGCGCTGGGGATGGATCGGTTTGTTTCTTCTTAGAATATACGATGTCTTATTCATCAGCCTGGGAGGCAAGTGTGATCCCGTCATCAAGACGGTGCACTTGACTTTCGAGTGATATTGTATGGTTAAGCCTTGCATTGCGGAGATTTCGCGATGCACAGGGTAAATATCAAATCACATCATTAACCATTCGCCCCCGCACGCATTGAAGCAAACCCGCCGGCCGGTGTAGCTCTTTCACGCCTCAAGTTCAAACGCCGTACCATGCCTCTTCATACCGGCTATGCACTTTAGAAGGACAAGTCCCTCATCATTCCCACCTTGCCAATCTCATACTCCACCCATCTCGCAACCCTAGTCTTGCCCGGCACCAGCAAGCTCGCCGGGTTCATAACATGACATCCCTCGTATGTGACGGCAAACGGCGGTGCTGTGGCGTCGACAAGCACCAGCGCCGTGGGTAGCGGGTACAGGTGCAGCGCGGCCGCGTAATCCCAGTGCACGGGGCGAATGGCGTGTCGGAACGGCGCAAGGTAGCCCTGGTCGAGAATGGTTTTGACGAGCTTGCGTGCACGGTGGACGTCTTGGGAGACCGGAGGTACGGCCGACGAGGTGGCAGTGCTTGTGTTGGTCGCATCGACATCCATGGCCTCCTGGTCTACGGGGGTTTCATTTGAGCCTACCGCACCTGACATGACGACGTCGCCGCCCGTGGAGGGGGTGTCTTGATCATCCGGATCGTCGGCTGCGGAGTTGGCTGAACGCGTAGACTTGAGCCGGACGGAAGTACGGCTGAGGCGGGCTGCGACATCGTCGCGGAACAGTACAATCTCATGATTGGGGCCAAAGAGACTCAGTCGGCTGGGATTCGACGTCCAGATTGCCTCGCCTTCCGTTGCCCTTTTCTCGCTGTCACTATTCAGTTCTGCATTGGCGGCAGCAAATGTCCGCCGGATCCGAGAAGTGAACATGTCGGGGGCTGGCTTGCGCGGTAGTGGAACGGCCGCTCCAGCGCCGAAGGAGGAGACCCAACCGTCATTGTCCCCCGGGACGAAGACAAAAGTCGCAGTCTGCAGCAGTGTTGGGAAGTCGGCCAAGGTACTTGCGAGCGCGTCGAAGACCTCCTTGTACTCGATGCTGCCTCCACTGCCGCCCCGGGCCAGAACGGCGTGTTGTGTAAAGTTGCCCGTGAGGACAAATGTCATGGGGCTCTGTCCTTCCGGCTCATTGGCATATAGTGACAAGATTTTGCGTAATGCCTGGAGGGTACGCGGCTGGTCGAGGTTTACCTCGCCGAGGATGATCATACGACCTCGACCAGGGGTGTCTTCAGCAGAGCGTCTGGGGAGCAAACGTTGTTCGAGCTTGCGCATTCGCGGACCAACTGCTCTCTCGCTGCCGACACCGAGGAAGTCAATCCAGCCGAATCCACCACCAATAGTGTGATCCTGGCCACCATCCGGCCCGCTCACGCCCAGAGTTGCTCTCCTTTTCTCACAAGGGGGCTGTCCAACGAAGAAACCTTGGAATTTGCCGCCGAGGGTTCCTCCTACGCCGCTGCTGCCACTCAGGCCCTTGCCGTGTGACTCCTCCTCCTCTTCGTACACGCCATCCATCAAGACAATCATGCCGGGGGCGAACCAAGCCGAATCTTCAGGAATGGCGATTGCCTGGGAGAGATCGAGCGCAATGGTGCCTGTCAAATCGCTGATAGCCAGGCCGCCCGTCGGCAGAACAACCAGCATGCCGAGTAGCATGTGGTGACTTCCATGGCGACCCAGCAGGTTTGCGATTGGTGTGATCTTGTGGTTCTGCTGGTTTGATAACGACCTCTTAAGTGTTGATGCTCTTGCACTGGCGACGGCTGAGGTCTGGAATGCTTCATTCCGCAGAAGACGCTGATGAATAACGTGGTAACGATTTCGGAAAAGTGCTGTTTTGTGTGATGCTGGTGGCAAAAGAGACGGTTTTGTAGTTTCCCTTGAAAAAGAGAGTCAGCAGAGGAAGAAATCGTTCAGAGAGCCAGCCGGACATACCTCTCGAAGTGCTTCTTGGCCACGTTGTAGCAAAGTCGTGGTTGGTCGTATGCCCCAATCACCTTGAGCCACTTCCTCGCGTCATTGACTGTCTCGTCATTCTCCTCCTCTTCGACCTCCAAGCTCGACATGCCGAAGCTCTGCTGGCTGTCCTCCCTAGTCAAGGCCTGATTTGGCCTCAGTCCCAACCTGGTATGCGAAGCCATTTCTGCGTCCCTGCCCGGCTCTAGCATGCTGTTCTGGCGGCTCAGACCTTTTCCACCAGCAATGATTTTTCCTCCACTCATGTTGCCCTCCATGGTCTTCAATATTTCCTTGAGCTCAGAGCTGCCGCCATCCACGATGACTCCTCCATTGCGACCCTTCCAGGCTTTGGCTGCCTCCTCGAGAACCTTTTCCGCTAGGCCCTCTTCGCGCCATCCTGATCCGCAATGCCGGCCGATGAACGTAGCGAGCTCCTGTAATGCCGTCGACGTCAGGGTCAGGCTGTGCTTCTTCGTGAAGGTTCGGAAGGCGAGGGGCCGCAAAGTAGCCGGAGGGAGGAGTATGGGTAGGATGGCATGTTTCGTAGGGGCCGAGACGTTGAACGGCTTCAACGGGTGAACAGGTGTGCCGAAGGCGGGGGAAGAGGAGGGAATGGCGGAAGAGGAGGGGGCGGGCGTCCTTGCGCCGTTGAAGATGTGAGCCAAGTTTGTCTTCTTTCGTCTTGGAGAGACAGTCGGCGGAAGTTCCATGGTTTCGCTGCCGGGCTGTGCCGCTGAATTTCTCCGGATATCGTATGGTGTCACGCAAGAAATGTCCTGCAGGTATGCCGAATGTCGACTTGAAGTGACGATCTCTGCGGTGCGGATAGGTAGAAAGCGCCCTGGGTGTTTAATTGAGACGCGTCCTGAGGACCGGGGACGCGTTGGTGGGGGCGAGTCACGGTTTGAGCAGGAGCCAGCGCGTGCTGCGTGCAGGCTTTGGCCTAGTCAGCTCCCCATAGAGAGGTATGCTCCATGCTTAATACGGAGCACGCGCCCCGGCAATGGAAACGATTTTGGTGATGTCAACGCCCTAATACCAATCACTTTTCGAGAGCTGTACCAGCTACGGCATCTGTTGGTTATTTTCATGAGATCCTACAGCTTTCCTCTTGGTACACGATCCAAACTCAACACGCAATCAATATGTTGGCATCAACAGCTCGCTTTGTACCGCGGTTCACAAGCGCCGTGAGGTTCGTCCGCGCCGTCTCAACACTGCCGACGAACCCTCACATCGTAGGTCCTTCTCCTGGCTAGCCGTATGTAAAGTCATGACTGATTGTTGCTCGGTTAGAAAGTCTTCCCAGCAGATGCCTCGAGGGCCTCCTTCCTCCTCAGCTTGCTCGATAGCCAGCCACCGAACCCTAGGTTAGCCATCGGCTTTGCAACCCAAGATCCCCCAACACCACAAACCTTCACGGAGAACCAATCCTTCCTCAACATAATGTACGAAGTCCTCGCCGAACACGCACCACAGGACGAGGAGCTTCTTGCCCAGGCCCGTGCCTTTGCAGGGCCTGGTGGTGCCAGCCTTGGGGCCGGTGGCATATTCGGTGCCCAGCAGCAGCATAGGAGGGGCAACAAGAAGCCGAGCGAGACAACAGGTGCCGGCGGTGCGAGTGGGCAAGGAGGAGCAGGCGGAGGTGGACGGGGCGGGTATATTCACCTCAGCGACTCGAGGAACCCGCCCGACTTTGGACGCATTGCCTGGCCTGAGGACATCATTGGCAGCCTAGAGGTTGATCCCGAGGGCAACATCATTGGGAATCTTCAGTCGAGTGGAACGTATCGCATGCTGACGAACGAGGGAGCGTAAGTACAGTCACTCCAATGCGTCTTTGTTGGCGCGACACGCCGCCGTCTGTAACTGACAATCCTTTCCAAACTTAGTCTTGGCTTGAGCTCCTTTCTCCGCGGGAAGCTGCTCGAAAGGTTGAGGGCCGAGGAGGACAAGGACAGGAATACCTGAGCGCTGGGATGCTGGCCTGCAGAGAACGGAGCCGACTCACGATGCTTCAGCGGCTTGTCTTGGCGCTGGTCAGCGGTCAAAGGAAGCCCATAATAGCATGCTGAGTGACATGACTATCCACACGAAGGGCTACCCGAACGGCGGAACAGACCTTGGCCCTAGGAGCCGGGCAGGCAGAGTCGGCGCCGGCTTTGCCTCCGGATCCTTCATTTTGTCGTCTTGAAGCGTCCCAATACCGCTGCGCGGTGGTGTCCATGCCGCTTCAGAGAAATCCGGCGCTATACCTTACTGCCAAGCCGTCGCTGAGACGCCCCACTCAAATGGAAGTGCATTCAGTTGGTGGTGTGTAGGTCTGGTCATTGTCGATCTGTTCGAGATGGTTAGGTTGGAAACAACTCAAAACCGCAGTAGCAACCCCCCCCCCCCCCCCCCCCCCCCCCCCGAGTCAAGTTGGTCCTTCCAACCTTGTGATGCGTGGTACATGTACAATGCGCGCTCGGGCTCTCTGATACGGTGATACGTCACCCTGCAAGTCGAATGACTCAAAAAAGGACGAATCCTGATAAACCTATGATCCCGTAAGGTTGATGTGGAGTTGCCAGTTGCTGAAACTCTATGACATGTCATCCTAGAAAGGAGGGTTCGTCAACCTCATCAACAGCGCATGCGCGATTTGGTGTAGACTTTCTCCGCAACAGCAACAGCTTCATTTGTGTTTTCAAGTACAAGTTGTGATACGTTTCCTCGCTTCTGACATGCACGCGCACATGGAAGTGGGGAAGCAGACCACAGCCAGGTACCGTACATCTGCTCTAGTAAATATCTGTTACAGCCATGCCCCGATGCTACATTGACGATAAGAATATGCGGGAAATATGACCAAGGACACGCCCCTGGCTCTGCAACGTCAAGGTAGAGATCCACCGAGGTTACATGCACATGATACTTTTTAAGGTATAGCGAGCGGTATTTCGTGGTGGAGGTGATGCACAGCAAAACAAGGCCCGGTTCTGGGAGGACGGGGCCGACGTTCCTGACGAAGGGGCAGGGAGGCCGAATGAGCCGTGGATCGAGATAGCACAGCACAGGATTCGTCCTCGATGATAGTTCTGCAAGTGACTCTCGACACGGGCGGCGGCTGCGGGCGTCATCTTGGAGGCATGCAGTCGCACGATGTGCGCGGCACGGCGCCAGTGAGGTAAGAGGTGCAGGGCCGGGCCAAGACATCGATGTCACTCGGCGTACCGCATGGGAAAGTTTCTGGCTGATTGGTGGTCAGCGGCTCTTCAGCGGCGGTTTATCCCGGGTGAAGATGGTCGGGTGGTCAAGTTGTGGTGGCTGGCTGATGTATCTATCTGCAGGCGTCAACATGATAACTGATCTGTGATCTGGCGGTTGAGGCCAAGGCAGGTCAGGGTTGGGAGACCCGAGGTCAAGCCCAGTCTCTCCCAGGGCGACATCTTGCTTCTCTCATGGGTGTGACGCTTTGGAAAGTGGTGAGGTTGAGGTGGCCCAAGAAACGAGTTTGGGAAAAGAAAAGGTGCTCGCCAGAAATGACGGTGAACACTGAGCCCAGAGCTCTTGCATGCCTACCCGCCATCCAGGTAGGTGCCTTGAGGTAGCTAGGTACCTGAACCAGGCCTGAGATGCCTGCCTGGAATGTTGGTAGGCTGGCTCCTTTAGCGGGCGAGCTCCCCCCAGGTCTCTCTGGAGAGCCCCCAGAGTACTGGGCACCGATGCCGGCGCACGGGCCATCAGGCTGCAGCGACGGTGGAGGGCTGGAGGGACTGGAGGGGCTGGATGGGGTCCCATCTGAGGGGCTCAAGGGTCTTGGCAGCCCTTCCCCTCCACATCCGTCATGTCATGGCCTCCACTGGCCAGCGTTGGCTCTGCTCTGTCCACTGCCCGCCCGCCCATTCCAACCCACCTGCACCACACCACGCTCAAACCGAACGAGAAACGATCAGTCACAGGTCCAAGCAGAGCAGCCCGAGGGTGGAAAGAGAAACGGGCGAAAATAGTACATCGCGCACACCCCCCAGCCCGCCTCGACTCGAACCGACCCCGACCCGCCTAGAGACGCAGAGGAGGCCCTGTCCCATCCCATCCCGTCCCCGGAACGACATGGCTCCCCCGAGGGGTTTCGAGGATGAGGAGCTCACCATTTCCCTCTCTCCATCCCAGATCCGACGCCGTGCGAATGAGGGCTGGAAAGCCTCGCCCTCCGAGTCGAACCCCGCCGCCAACACAAACACCACCACCACACCTGCCATGGCCTCCGCAGCTCGTGCAGATCAGCAGGCCGCTGCTGCCGCCGCCGGCCGTGGTCCTATCCCGACCGGCATCGGCGCCGGTGTCCGTGAGAGGATCAAGACCGAGCAGCGCATCGGTGCCTACAAGGTCATCAAGACCCTTGGTGAAGGCTCCTTCGGCAAGGTCAAGCTGGCCATACACAATGGCACCGGCCAGCACGTCGCTCTGAAGATCATTGCGCGCAAGAAGCTCATCAGCAGGGACATGGCTGGCCGCGTCGAACGCGAGATTGAATATCTTCAGCTGCTGCGACATCCCCATATCATCAAGCTGTTCGTACAGACCCTTTGCTTTTGGTATCTCTGCTCGGCTGCCCCGCGCGGCAGCTCTGGATTTCCTTTCCCAAACGGAGCTGACATGCCTTGTCCGTACCTAGTTATACTGTCATCAAGACGCAAAACGAGATTATCATGGTCCTAGAGTACGCCGGCGGCGAGCTTTTCGATTACATTGTTCAGAATGGTCGCATGAAAGGAAGCCGAGGCACGCCGTTTCTTCCAGCAGATGCTCTGTGCTGTCGAGTACTGCCATCGACACAAGATCGTCCATCGCGATCTCAAGCCCGAGAACCTTCTCCTCGATGACCAGCTGAATGTGAAGATTGCCGACTTCGGTCTCAGCAACATCATGACGGACGGCAACTTCCTCAAGACGTCCTGCGGTAGCCCCAACTATGCGGCCCCCGAGGTCATCGGAGGCAAGCTCTATGCAGGCCCCGAAGTCGACGTGTGGAGTTGCGGCGTCATCCTCTATGTTTTGCTCGTCGGAAGGCTACCTTTTGACGATGAGCATATTCCCAGCCTGTTCGCCAAGATTGCGAGGGGCACGTACAGCATCCCACAATGGATCAACACTGGTGCTGCCAACCTCATCAAGAAACTGCTTGTGGTTAATCCCGTCCAGCGCGCCTCTATCGACGACATAAGGGCAGACCCGTGGTTCCAGATCGATCTGCCGCCCTATCTTCAGCCAGCCGTGGAGGAGTTTTACAACACAGGGGTGGACCCCAACCAGGCCATCAAGAAGAGCGACATTGCGCCCAATGCGCCGACGAAGGTGCAAGAAAAGCTGCACGACGAGGTTACGGAGAAGATCAGTAAGACCATGGGATACGGCAAGAAGGACGTGCAGGAGGCTCTAGAGGCCGAAGAGCCGTCAGCCATCAAGGACGCCTACATGATTGTTCGTGAGAATAAGCTCATGCAGGTCAACGGTAAGATCGACCGGGGATATCATGATGGACTCATACTCACAAGTACCGCAGATGGCTTGGCTTCACTGACTGTCGACCCGGAAACCTCCAACAGCCCCATGATCAGTGCCTCGTCTGCTCGATCTGGGACTTCTGGAGTCGGTGCCGTGCCGAGGCCCTACATCAGCAAGATTGGCATCCTACCAAGCAGTCTGCCAGACTACCACAAAGAATACGTGGAACGGGAGAAGGCGGGCATAGAAGACACGCCCACGCCTAGCATCGTCGTCGACGAGCACGGCTCAAGCTCTCGCACCGATGCCGAGCGTGAGGAGCTGGCACGGCATCTCAAGCCGCACAACAAGACGCAGCAGCGCTACGCCGACGAATCTGGCCAGCGACCGCAGGGCATGACGCCTGTGACGGTGCCTGCCAAGAAGGTCAAGCCAGTTCGCTGGCAGTTCGGTATCCGCTCGCGTAACGCGCCGTGGGAGGCTCTTCTGTGCATTCACAAGGCACTCAACAAGCTCGGCGCGACATATGTGCCTGACGAGGACTATGAGAAGCTCCACGCTCAAGACGAGAGCGAGCATGGAGGCAGCGGGGACGGCAGCTTCGTCGATGAGTACGGCAGCGGCACGCAGCAGTCTGAGGGCGCCAACACGTCAACGAGCAGCATCGATCCGCTGAAGAAGTACAAGCTGCCGGCTGATCCCTGGCACATCAAGGTGCGATGGGAGACAAAGAGTGAGTGTCCCCTCGGAACGACAAGATTGTCCTTGGTCCTCCCCGTGCTGACCAGATTCGTCCAGCCATGAGTAGAAGGGCGTATGATCACCCAGACAGCTACCACGTGCATGAAGAAAACATGAAGAGGGACTTTGTGGCTCTCCATGTCGACATACAGATCTACGAGATGGAGCACGGCGTCTACCTCGTCGACTTCAAGTGCTCGGGCTACGAGACGGCAGATCGCAGGCTGCTCGAAGAAAAGGATGTCACCAGCCCGTTCCCGTTCCTTGACATGGCTGCCAAGCTCATCATGCAGCTGGCTGAGGCTGACTAGAAGTGGAGGTGGGTTACAAACCAAACCTTGTTTCCCTCCGTACGCCCTTCTCCTTCGCTTTTAGACTCGGCAGGGTCCATTTGCTTTTACGAAGCGGGCTATCATGTCATGAGAGGGGCAGAACAGGGCACGGCTGCATAGACCGGCGCGGAGGCATGGCTTTTTTCCCTTTGACTTTTTTTTCTCACACCCACACACACATACTCTCTCTCTCTTTTGCGTCGTTTCGGGAACAGGAGTTTTCTCCGGACTGGCCGGGTTGGTTGGTCCGACGGAACGAAGGATGGACAGGCAGGAAACGAAGGACCGGGGTGATAGGGAGGTCTGTGAGTTTGTGATGGACGTTTGCTCTCCTTGTCTTGGGTATACCCGGCGTGCAAAGACGGACAGACGGGAAAGAGAAGCTGGCCGAGGAGAGAGGAGAAAGGGGGAATGAGAAGGGAGGGGGGGGGGGGGGGTCGGTTGTGAGGTCCTGGTGGGAGATGGTCTCTAGTTGTCTTGGCACGACCCGAGGGAATGGAACGCGTTGGCGGCCTGACTGACGATCTGGGGGGGCGAGATAGGGGCTCGGCACCCCAATCCGGCTTTTACGGCTTTTACGAGCTGAGAGCTTAGGAATCAAGTTTGTTGATGTCGTGTGCGCCGCCCATTTGGGGACGAGTGCTGTTAAGGTTTGGGTAGTTTTGTTGGGGAGAGGGGCTCGGCTGTGAGCGCGTTGCTTATGTTCAGCTTACAGAACATGGACCAGATTTAACTTGAGTCGCGATTCGCTGGTTCAGAGTTCCAGTTACCCGAGGGCATTCCGAATGTGGGAGGGGAGGGGGAGGGGTGTGTGTGTGTGTGAGTGTGTGAGTGCATGGTGGAGACAGCGTCGCATGGTAAGGTAGTCAACGTCGCATCAGCAAAGCCTAAAAGAAAAAAAAAGGACCGACAAACAAAAAAAACACAAAAAAAAGTTCCCGACGTTGCCGGACGACAGTGTCAGAGAGTGAGAGACACACACATAGATGCGCACGTCTTGCGAAACCACGATAAGGTGCAATATGGGCCAAACCGACCCCGCCTAGTCTTCCGACGAAACGAGACTCAGCCTCTTCGCGGCGAGAAACCCGAAATTAGCAATGGTCAGGGGCCCGATCCGACCGGCAACAGCACGTCGTCCATCACAGACCAGACAGCAGCACAGCACTTTGGAAGCGGGCGTTCCGAAGGGGAGAACCCTCCCTCGTCACAATCATCGCACGCCCCTCCCCCCCCCTCTCTTCCCGCCCCTCGATCTTCCCCCACCCCCTGGCAGCGCATCCCCGTCTCTCGTTACCTCGTCGCAACCCTCCATAAGCGAGCAGAACAAGGAGGGTGTCGGGGCCATCCATCGCGGTTTCCCCCCACCGCATGCACGATGAGGCGCATCATCGTTGCTCAGCGGGCGCACTTCGGCAGCGGGCAGACCGACGAAAAGGTGGAGAGAGGAGGAGGAGGACGACGACGGGGGGCGGGGAGGTGAGCTTCAAAGTCACATCGTGAATAACCTCATCTGACGCTGGGGTTAGGGGGGGGGGAGGGGAGTGGGCGAGTGGAAAGACTAACGCTCGCACCTGCATTTGCACTTCGCCTCTTCCCGCTGCTTGCACCCTCGGCTTCCCGCCCGCGGAACGGAAAGCAAAAGATATTGCAAATTGTCTTGCAGACCAAAGGCCGGGCTGTAGACAGACACACGCACGGGAAGAAGTGGGAATCGAGACCACCGGAAACAATCAATCCAACGAAAAAGGGTTTAAAGCAACAACGCCGCAATGTATTTAGCCCTCCGCAATTTGCTGGCTTTGATCCCTGCCTCGTCTAACCGGGATACAGTTCGAGCTGGAGCGCACCTCGA